CCGCTTAGGCAATGAAGCGAAGAGAATGTGCTGAAAGATCAGTCATCAAAGAAATCGGCAACACCCTTCGAGAAGAGCAGCCGAATTATGGGTCGATGGCTGCAGCTGGGGATGTCGGGGTGGCTCAAGTCTCGCGACCAGGGATGCCGCTGCACTTACGCCAACGTAAGTTGACCAAGAGCACTCACATGCTCTGTTAGCAAAATTCTCATTTATATTATTTATATATTACAACTTAGAAGTCTTGAGGGTTTCGAAGGCGTAGCGTAGCGAAAGAAGCCTAACTACCTGGAATGAAATATGATCATGTATAGCGGGAAGGAAAATACAGTTTGCAGAATGTTTGACGTGTTCCCGTCAAAATGAACATACGTAAGCTCGCCTTGTCAAGATGGCAAGAAGTATTTTACAAGTCGAAGAATGCAGACTTAGTTAGGGCACACAACCATTCACATGTTTTGTACCCAGGAAAAGATTTCTATTACCCGTTGCGAAGTTTGAACTCGTAAACAAACACAATAAACAATTATGCAAAAGGCTATAACCAGCCATTAATTGAAGGTGGATCGCTGTGGTATTCATCACCGTCGATGTGCATTGTGGGGAAAGTAAGATAGGGGTTACAGAACGACAGGTCTTACATACACGATTTAATGATCTCACGAACGTCATCTGTACTGATGAGACCGATGTGCCTTTACCACCTGGAGTAAGTGATGCGAGCCAGGCAGTTTGCGGGTTATTTTTTGCAAAGACATCAGGTTCATATTTTTCAAGGCTCCCAAGAGCTCAGCCATATTGTACCTGAGGTTTTATTTGCTAGGTTCATTGTTCCTCCAGGTTGCTATGGGCTCAACCTCAGTTAATTCAAGGATTTATATATCCGGTTGATGAGATTTACTTCTACATGTGTATGTTATAACCTCGAGAAGCGCTACTGGGGTATTTCATGTAAATTTTCGAACCACAATCTTATTTCAGTTCAGTTACAATTCTACCGCATTCAAATCAAGTCTTCCTTCCCAGTGCATCTCTTCCGATCGTGTTGGGACTATCTCGGATAGCCTCTTACACCTGGTATCACTATGATGTCCTTCTGACGACCAAGTAAAAAAATCTACAAGTCGCTTGTGTAGCATGCGCTGATATTCCAAGACCCCAATCAAAAACAATGAAAGAATCTAACGCTGATGGATCCGGTACCTAAAGAGACTGTGGAACTGTTACATGAAATTTGTCTCGTTTGACGCACCACCAACGGACAGCCCTCCTGCGGTTGCTTGCAGTCGTCGGTGTGATGGGTGTGATCAGCTTGCTAAAAACAGCATTAGATGAGCATAGGAATATGGCTACAAGCGCCATGCATTATGAGAATATGAGCTCTCGCCGACAGCTCGTAATTTTCGTCACGATAGCGATGAGTTATTTTCTCAAGCTTGGGATATCTCTGTATCATGGCGAAACTCTCAAATATTTGGCAAAATAGTCTGTAGAGTTGGATACAGCGATTGTTGCGAGACAGCTTATGAACCCAGTGCTGCAATAATTTTTCTCGATGACTTACTTGCGGGTCGAGCAATGATTCGGGCGCGTTAATAGCGCTTGGCCGATCGAGTTGCTACTAAGACCCGGGCGACTTCAAGCGAGAGCCATAAAATGTTTTTGAACATTCACAGCGCAATATTTTTCGAGCTCAATCCTTTCGAGCTTGCGCTGAGTTTATTTATCTATTTAAGGATAGTTGCGACCGATAACCATTAATAAAACGTGATAATATCTCGCTTCAATTATTGCCAACCAGTCAATTGAGGCCTTAGCACAAATCGTATCATTCATGGCAGAACTCAATAACGGTCCAATCCGGAACCAGCAGTTCCAAGCACATCCAAAGACGGTTAACAAAGCCATCGAACGTGCGGCGCAAGAGGAATTCTGCATCAAACAAGCCATATTAAGCGGCTTAATCGCTCATGCAACAAGAAAACAAATAACACCGTATGATGGTCGATAACCGATGGACATTTCGGACACCGATGCGAGCGCCAACAGACAGCCGCGTAATGACGGAAAATGTTTCTGAAATTCGGTCACATTGTCAGAAATTGTGATGTTTTTTGCCGAGCCAACAAGCGACTTATAGTTTGCAATCTAAGCGGATGGGCAAAGACCGACGACTCGACCGCTCACATCAGTAGAAAACGGGTACGACTAGTAGGGGCGGGTCTCCGTACTGAGCGAATGAAGAGTTTTGTGAAGTTCGTGGAAGTGCAAAACGTCGCCCCAATATGTTAAATGCACATGAATCTTCGCGAGCAGTTGTGAGCATGTTGAGCAAGAGCCAGTCATAAAAATCCATAGGCTTCAGGTAGACGACTACTTACGGGCTCTGATAGGCGCTGGTGTTTCGAACAATTTTGTCCGCACACAAGTAGTAAATAGGTGAGGTTTGAACTTGCCTCACTCGAATACGGAGATTTTTTTGCTTGACAAATAAATTGAAAGTGACGACCCCTAAAGACGTGTTGGTAATATCATCGCATGCGATTATTCTCGAGGCAGAGATGGGTCAATTGCACTCAGCCTTGATGACAATTTCTATCTGATTCTGGATATACCTGAGCATTGACTGGAAGAATGAGAAGATTACCGTCGGCAAGCAAGCAGACAAAGGCATATTTTGGCAGCAAGAGAGGTAATTTGGGCATATACCTTTGTTGAAGATGTGTACAATGAAAGTTAGGTGTGTGTTGGCCCATCACACTCAACGAATAAGTGTGTGAAGTCCACTGGATGTGGGCTTGTCAGGCACCATAAAGAGACAACTCCTGCGACCAAGAGCGATATGGAGCTCCGCTCTGACAAAACTAAAGAATCTAAGAAGATTATTTGAGAAAATGGAGATGATCCTCAAGAGTTCTGGATCGAGACACAAAAAAGCAGAAGAGGTAGTGAAGCATTGGGCCACTTGAAACGCATATGTGAACGTCGTAAACTACAATTAAGATAGCATTAGCAACTCTGGTTCAACCACTGCTTTTCTTGCTGTTGCTAAGCAAGAAGGCGCTAAAATGTAGCCTGCCAGAATTTTGCAAATATGTGCGATCCTCAACGCAGCCATCAGCGATGTCATCGACACTGCGAAATAACTAGATGGAAGGACACAGAAGGAAATGTCATAGAACGCTTTACAGACACACGACTTGTATGGACAGTCAAAGAATATGCTGGCATAGCTCCAGACAGAATGTCGGATGATTTGCCGCATGACAAATACGCTCGTCAAGAGATAAATGTAATCATTCAACGATGTACCGAATCGTAAGCCAATAGCCGCTACTGAAGGCGCAAGTCGATGCAGTCGATGAGTTCTTCGTACAGCGACAGAAGGCTGGTCATGTGCGCGAGAACAAATCTCTACACCTTCTGTGCAAAGAAAACCAAAAATGGGTGGCGCGTTATACGACCTATTGGCAAATTTGGACGGTGCGACTATATCTGCTCAAAGGCCTGTTCTGCGAAAGGATATGATCTTTGATGGAATGGTTTGCAGCACCTTTTTCAGAGCTCTTGATCTGAAAGATAGTATCTATCAGATCCGTATGCGTGAGGGCGATGTACCTTCATTGCAGTAAATACCCGTAGTCGTATGCTATAGGGATGGATGGTTCTGCGACAGGGGTGAAGAATGTACCAGCAACTTTTAATTATTTGAACAATCGCGAAGGCACTCCGTCGAGCTCTTTGACGACATATTCGTTTATAGGCTCAGAGTAAAAAGAAGGATACCCATGTTCACTTTCAGCATCTCGAGTCTTCCAGGTAATGCGAGAGAATACATCATACGCGGCCACGAAGAAGTGCATCTTCTTCATCTGGGTCAGCTTAATTCATTGCCTATCTCCCTGATAAGCCGGAAGCCCGTGACTATGGATTGATACTTTCACGATACAACCGGTATCCTGGTGTTTGTGGACTAATTTAGTAAAATGGTGTATCTTACTCCTGTCTCAGACAAGATCTTGGCAAAAGTGACTGCGAAAGCCATTCTAGACGTGGAGTTCCGTGTACAAAATCTCCCTTTAGAAATGATACTAAATACTTCGCTTGGCATCTTAGATACGAAATTAATGTCAATATCAGCACACACACAGAGGTAAACAGTCAAACTAAACGAGTGAATAGCGCCCTGGAGCAATCAGTAATTAATCAATTCCGATTCTTGCGGAGCCACGTAAAGTTAACAAGAATTATATAAACAATATATATACAATGTTTTATTACGTCAAAGTTCATACGCCTGAAAATTATACCATTTGCATTTACT